GTCAGTAGCAGGGAGGACCATTCGGTATGTGTTGTCAGGTCCCTCCGAGAGTGTTCGGCTTTCAGTTATTGTTGTGAGAAACCAGCCCTTGGTCTTTTATTTAACCAAGTGGCCGCCTTTGAATTTCAGAGAGTGCCAGGCCAATGAGTCAGAGACTAGCAGAACCCGGTAACAAGGACAGCTCCTGAGTCCTGCTTTTATCCTCTGATATTTTGCAATACCGGAACTTGACTGCAGGCATCGTCTCCAAATGCCCTTTCCCTGAAAATAGCCACCGCCAAAGTAGGAAGGCTAAGAGGTCCTATGTTAAGGCTTTAGTTCTAAGGATTGTTACCTGAGTCTTTTAAAACACCTCAGTACACACGCGTATTATGTGCCCATATTTGGGGGGAGGAGGGGTAAATACACATTTAAAAAAGTCATGAGTTTGAAAATTTTTTTAAATGGGGTTGGCCCACCTACAAAGGATTCAGAACCTACCTGTGTTCATTTTCTCTTGCTGCCTACAGATGATCACAAGTTAGCAGCTTAAAACAACACGCAGACGGGCCGGTCACCAATCTGCATTGTAGAGCCAGGCTTTCTGTCTCTGGGTCAGCTGGACTGAGTGTCTTGGGAGTCCGGAGTTTGGGGAGAAGCTTTTATTGGCAGGCTCACGGATGTTGCTGGCACAATCCTGGTCGCTCCTTGTGTCCTGAGGTCCCGCGTGCTGCTGCTCTAGCCAGAGGTCACGGGGTCACGGTGCTCTCCTTAACCAGAGGTCACGGGGTCACGGTGCTTGCTTTGCCTTGTCGTGGCCTCCATATTCAAGCCAGCAGTGAGTCCTCTCTCATTTCCTGTCTCTGCCACCAGTTACGTCAGAGCTCCTGGGGTCACGTCCTGTCTTAAAGTCAACTGGTTGGTAACCTTAATTGCTTTCTTAAACCCCCTTTCGCCATGGAAAGTACACAGTTGTAGAGACACCTTAGAATTCAGCCTACCGCACTTAGCTTAGAAAGACATTTCCCTGTTATATGCATTAAGTCTGTAGGTCAATTAACATGAAAAGTTCTTTGGAACATTCACTATGAACCACTGTAATACATTCTTTCTAGGCTAAATTACTTGGATTGGGAATATGATACAAAGTTTTGTTTTGCTGAACAATAAGTGTACATTTTAAATAAGTCTGTAAATTAACCAGTGAAGGTAATTTTCAAAGACACGTTTTAAGTGGTCATTCTAAATGCTTCATCTGTTGGGTAGAATTCTTTGTTTCCATCAGATGACAGGGAGTCAGTCATCCGTCTTCTTGATGTGTCATATCATGATCTTGTTCATGCCTTCATGAGTCAACTCACAGATGTCAAAGCCAAATGAGAAGAGGTCTTATGCCCCCACTGGCAACCTTTTCACAAAAGAAGCAGAGATTCTGAGAGGCAGTGAATCCGAGAAGGGGCAGAGCTGGCTAATTACTAGTAGAGGTTGGCCCAGAGTACACCTTTTTCTCTTCTTTTTCTGCTAATAATATAATACTACCATTAAGGGAAAGAGCTCTAAAACTGTAACTGACATTATGCTATGCTGTGCACACGCTTTAAATACATTTTTTGTGTTAATCCTTACAATTTGATGAGATAGCCATTATTACCTTCACCATTTCAGTTTCAGAAAACTGATCCACAGACAGGTTAAGTCCTTTATCTACTTCAGATCCCCCCAGCTTGCAAGGGACAGAAGGGGAAAGTGAGGGGAGGCAATCTGACACCAGGCCTCACCTCTTCACAGTGCTCTGCTTCTCTTTCGACATTCCCTCTTGAAGAGTCACCGAGTTAGAATAGTATCGCCTAGTCCATGCTAATCTGTGTAACCACTGTACCACAAGTAGGTTGCCAGTTCAAACCCACCCAGCCCCTCTGTGGTCGAAAGACCTGGCAATCTTCTTCCATCTACCAAGAAAGCCCTGTGGGGCAGCTCTACCCTGTCACATCGGGTCACTAAGAGCCCACATCAATCGACAGCACCCAACCACAGCCACACACTAAGCTGAATACGTTGTCAACATGCTCACAGTTTGGCAATAACTTCCAGAGTAGCAGTGAATTCAGAGTCCGGAAACTCCGCACACTCTGATGAAGTCGCTCAAGATAATGACTGCAGGAAATTGTGTAGCCACTAGGGTCCTTAAATGCCTTCTCTCTAAACTGGGAATAGTTGGTGTCGTAATGAAGAAGATGCGAGCCAAAAGCTGTCTGTAAACGAAGGCCTAGAAGCTCATTCTACTCTGTACGTTATTTGACAAATGGTAGCAGGTTCTTATCACTCCATATTCCCCAAATTTTCAAGTTATTGTGACAGTGACAGGCAAAGACCATGTCTGGAACTTTCAGGAACCTCACTTTCTCTGTGTGGTGTGTGTATTTTCTGTGTATAGGGTCCTGCCCCCTGCCTCGTTCATTGTGATCATTGTTCTTTCTCAAAGGCATTCTTCACAGGTCGAGCATGAACACGATTTGGAGAGGCCGGGCCTCCTCCTGGTTGCGTCATGTGTGCCTAGCACCTTCCATGAGTCCATTTCATACCTGGGCGAAATTTTTGATAAGGCTTTTTAAGACCACTCTCAAAATCATTCATCTTAAATCTATGACTGCCAAGACTTATACTGCCATCTTCATCCTTTTGTCGTTGTGGTTAACATCTT